CTTCTCGCTCATATAGCATACTCAACGGCAGAAAGCCAATCAGACGCGGCCGGGTTTTGCGATGCGTGTCGCTCGGGCTGTAGCTCGTGACCACCGTGCGTCATGATGTTTTTTTCGATGTCAACGGATTCCAGGTAGATCCCGCAACATCGAATTGATCTGTCTTGTAGGATGCATCCAACCTGTGTTCGCCAAAAGCTGCAGAGGCCTAGACCGAACAGGTCTGCTTGCTCCCCTGCAGGCGCGTCGCGGGGCTGACCATGGTCAGATAGCCGCCCGTGAGGTTCGTCACCAGCTGTCGAGCGCGCTCTAGGCTGCATGGTATGCGACTCCTTCCCCTATGGGAACGATACCCGTCTCTGTGAAGGCTGCGTCGTCTGCGCCGTCACCGTGCGGTCGTTGCGGAAGCTGCGTTCAAACCGACGGTCATCGTCTCCGCCAAGTACACGGCTGTCCACAATAGCGTCGCCCACATCTTGTGGTGTGTCGCACGTTGAAGGACTCGCTCAGCTTATAGAGTGATGCCCTTGTCGAAAGGGACGGCGGCCGGGACTATCTACTCGATGACATCCTCCAGCTCTCGACGATTCCCTTCTCCAGGACGCATCTTGATGTATACGTGGTAATACAATGGATTAGTACAGAGTATTCATATCTCGTCTATTCTACTCGCTCTTATGGACGTCAAGCCTGAGCATTCCAGCGCGCGACGAGCGCCTTGACCGACTTCTCTGGGTTGTCCGCCCACGTCCCGAACGGCTTCAGCAGATTACGCAGATGCTCCTCGCGCAAGCCGCCGATCTCTGCGGCGGTCTTGTACGAGAGCTCCATCAGTTCGTCCGCGCAAAGTGGTTCCGTACGCAGGATCAGCGCGCGCACCGCAGGCGCAACGTCGGCGCGCAGGACATCGTGTGCCTCGTACAGCGCTAGCTGACGGACAGGCGGAGGTGGTGACGGCCCCGCAAAGACCTCGCGGATCGCACGTGGCTTCACTGTAGGAAGCTCGAGCTTGTGCGCAATCGACAGGAGACGTATCCACTGGTCGGTACCCATCGAAAACCCTTCCTTCATACTGTGACGATCATCAAGCACAGGACGTCTGGGCGCGATCAGAGAAGAAAACGGGACTCACCTCTCGTCGACGAAGTGCAGCAGCGTCTCCAGCTCGGCAGCGTGGATTCCTGGGATAGCTAAGGGTTGTTCAGGCGAGTTCAGGCCGGACATGCGACGGATCTTTGCGAACTGCGCCGAGTTTTCCTGGAGCCAGCGCGCGTCCACTCTGAACAGCTTATTCTCGACCTTGCATCACGATGTCAGTAAGCGTGCGTTTGGAGTTGCGCACGGCGCGGGACGCACGAGCAGGACCAGGTAGTCGTCCGACAGGTAATACTTCTCATGAAATTCTGCGGACCCCTCGGCCTGGGAATAGTCTGGCTGTGGCAGCCCGTTCAACACAAACAAGACAGAGATGGCGTTGTAGACACACGGGCGGGTTCTGGTTTTGGGGGCCCTTGTCCGGCGTGAATCCCATGGCCGCTCGTGTTCGGGCTCGAACCTATGAGGGTGCTGGCGAGAGGGAAAGTGAGCGGGCACGCGATTATCCGATCTTTTATATTGGCACTGGGCGCAGAGCTGTCATCCTAGGGTGCTGTGCGTAATACTAGTATGGTCGCTGTCACTAACCCACCTGATGTAGGATTTTCGAAGCATCGTGTGATGATATCCTATACAGGGTGTCGGAACAGCCGGACGTCGAACAGCCGGAGGTGCCTCTACCTCGGAAATGTACAGCACATTTGTGGCACGCTTTTGTACTCTCTCTTTGTCTTATCCCTGTTCGTCCGTGGCAGTTTAGCTGGTTGCCTCCGTGACCCCACGGACGGAATTCAAACCAGCGCTCTCACCCATCTTGGTGTCCCTTAAAGGCCATTCAACGACGTTGTCCGCGACGCGTCCCACCGTCCAGGCGCCTTTCCTCGAAAGTAACGGCCGCGCGGCTACCTTGTGGCACTTCGCGCGATCGTCGCCGCGTTTTGGGGCACTTCCATCGCGACATTCCTTTGTCGAGTTAGCTTGGGGAGGGTAGAGGAAAGGGGATGGAGAATCACATATATGTTACCGATCCCTCGTCCTGGACCGCATGCCCCTACGACCTTCCTGCCTTCCTCCATAACCGACGACGACGCCATCTTCAAACCCACCACTCTCGACCCCGCACTCGCCGTCTACTGTCCAACCATGTCTTCCAATACGCCGCTCGACGCATTCTTCGCCACCTATCCATCCTTCGCATACGACCCCAGCGCCTCCGCGACGGCCGAGTTCGCGCGGACGTGCGCGCAGTTCCGCTGGGGCGAGAAGCGACGAAAGAAAGCACATCGTGCGTTCAGCACCGCGATGGTCGCCCAGTTCGCCGCCACGTTCGGCACGGACGTGGGCAGCCTGCGCTCGTGGCAGGCGCTCTGCGAGGCCATCGACATCGAGGAGGTTCCGGACACACTGACTAAGTGTAAGAAAGTACGTGCGCCTCCATGTCGTGCTTTAAGCTGCATGGCTCGTGTATCGCTGATGAGCGCCGGCCAGGCGGTCAAGCGTTCGCACGTCAACATCGTCGATCTTCTCGACGCTGCCATGCACGGCGAACGCACGCGCGGCTTTCCGAGCGAGCGCGCTCTGAGCAAGTACACGCTAGGGACGCCAAACAAGATCTTTCCGCTCGACCGTGCCAAGGCGGGCGGCCTGCTCCGATACCTCCTTCGCCAGATCATACGCCCCTCGGGCCGTTGATGAAGCATTGCGCGCTGGCGCGCACACTACCCGGCTTTCTTGAGCGTCTCTAGGGGTGGTAGTGAACATCTAGTGCGTTTGCGCCGACGGTCGCAGCGACGGACACGTGTATATAGTTAATGATGGGACCAGTGGGGCAGGTTACGTAGGACCGTCGCTGGCCCTCGTTTTGGGGTACCTTTCACGCAAGTGTAAAGCATGAGTGGCATGTGTTGCAGGAGTCCTGGCGCCCATACACATACAGTATGGGTGCACGAACGAAACTTACTCGTCCTTGTCCTCGTCCGATCCACCCCCCGTCTTCGTACCGGGATCCTTCTTCTGCACAGGCTCCTGTGATTTCGGGCTAGCCAACGCCGTCTGCGTCCGCATCCCCACCAGCATCTTCCGCACAGCGATCCACCAGTTCATCCCAATGACCTGGTATACGGCCGCCAAAGCTATGCCAAGTAGACCATCTTTCAGCGATCTGCACGATACGGCCGGTCAGAGCGGCCTAGGGGTGCCACGGGAGGGGTTGGACACGCACCGGGAAGCAAAGGCCGCGTAAAGACAGTCGAGGCACATGTACGAGATCCCGGCATACTGCGTTGGGATCGGCGCAAAGGGGAAGAATGCGAACGTGATCTATGGATCAGGTCAGTGGCGATGAGAGGAGATAAATCGTGGCACTACCGTCGCTGGACTGTAGCGCTCGCTGGTCAGTGCTGCAAGAGCGTAAACCCCGGGTCCCCAAGAACCTGGCCCCCAAGAGGGGGGCTTGGGGGGCGAATCAGCCGCATAGGTAGAAGAGAGTCGTTTGATAAAGCGCGGGTATAGAAAGCGTGCGTAGGTGATGTGCGAGAGCAGATTAGAAGCGAGCGCAGCTGAGGGATGCCGTGTAAGCTAGAGTAAGGACACGCACAACATCCAGCGGGCGCACCGGTTAAGTAGAGTGCAAGGACGTGGAATTCCGACGTCGCTTCGTGGAGCTTCTTATCGGTTTCCCTCAGCTCATTGATGATCGCCCAGTTAGACGCGTAATGGGCTGTGAGGAGTTAGGCGTCCATCATAGCAGCAACGCGCACTACGGACCAAACGTGAGTAGCCCGAGGGTGTGCCCGGCGAGTTGAATAAAGTGTCGGTGACTGAGGCCAAGTTATGAGTGATGCACGCAAGAACACGGCCGACGTATGTCACCTAAAGACAGTAGTGACCAGCGTGTACCATTTCCCACTCTGTGGATCGTGCACGAAATGTCTCTGCATGAACGGGTGTAGCCTAGGCACCCGCCAAAGGAGGTGTACAGCGAGGTTGAGGACAGAGACGTAGCAGGCTGTGCGATCACCGTCCCAGCTGTTGATCCATTTGCGGCGGCCCCAGAGATACAAATCTCGGAGCAAAGGCTTCAGAAGAATAGGTGTATACTCCGAATCGAGGATCTTGATCGCTGTCGGGTTCCAATGCTCCCAAAAGTACTGATCTGAGAATGAGCGAAAGATCGCGTAGACATCGGGAGACTGACGGCTTGACTCCGCTTTTGTCTGTCGTCACGTAGTTCTGCCCAAAGCGTAGGTTTGCTGGCGGAGTCCAACAAGAGGGCATCAGGGTCGACAGTAGAAAGTCGGTGCCGGGTGACGACGTCGGTGATTTCCGCGCAAACACCATAGATCGTCACGCACAGGACCGAAGTAAACTGCACGGATGGTGAGCGATGCGTTGAAGATTCGTGGTACAGCTCCTTGTTCATATTTCTGTACCCATGAACGTCGTGCGGCGCCCGTTCCCCGCCGCACTCGAGTGGAGGACTCACAAGAACGTGTTTCCAGTATCGTGGATGCTTGACCGAGCGAAGGACAGATGGCATCGGCAATGCAGGAGCTTGCGGCCCTCCGGAGGCATGCACGCAGCGGAAACCGTGCGGTTGAAAATATGGTGGCAGGAATCGTGGCGTTGGTCGAGCTGGTGTCATTCTTGAACCGCGAGCTCCCGGTAGATGGCGCAGAGACGGGAAGGGAGCTCGTGCAAGGGCGCGTATCATGGCGAGGCCATAGGGAGCGTGGAGGAACTGTGCTCAGTCCCTCCAAGGAGGGATATAGGGGACAAACGGTTTGCAGCGTTTGGAGTGACGAGGTTGCAGACGCGGAAGCAGTGACGCGCCTCTGCGGCACTCAGTGCCGTAGGTCACGTTCAAGTTGCATGTCAATGTAAGAAGATTAACGACAGGCTTTTCAGGGCAAGTGGCACAGTGGTAGCGCGCCTGCTTCGCACTTTGGTCGACTGCATGAGGTCCTGGGTTCAATCCCCAGCTTGTCCATCTGGAAATAGGAGTGCTTTTTTTTATCGCGAGTACTCATAGCGGCTCGGATAACTCTTTTGGACCCTGTATCTGCTGCCAGGAGTCACTCAGCTTCTCACCAATCTTACGTCAGACTACGAACTGATCGCAAATGTGCGCGCGCGCAGCGACTGAGAGGGATCACGACGGTACGCGGCTATGCGTGTAGTGTCGCAAGCTTCTCGGCATCCAGTCCCAATCACCAGGGTACAGTATGGCAGTTTGACGCCGATCCGGGGCAGAAGGAGTAGCGGAGGCCACAGGGCTGATCGAAAGGCGTTGTTGATTTAAGGCCGCGATCAGTAGGCGTGATTCTGCGAGGATGGCCGGTGCATGCGACAAACGCATCTGTGAACGTCGCCTCGCACCGGCGAAGTCCGGTGCTTGCCTGCGGCGTATCCACGCATCTCGCAGGCGGAGGAGAGTGTGTGAAAAGAGATATGGGCGGGGCTCCTTGCGCTTAAACCACCACCATGGTTTAAATTCACACGCTCACCGCGTACGCAAGACTGGTCTTTACAACGGGCACCTCCTACACGGAGACCACCCACACAGACCATACCTACCCTGAGCCCCCCCCAAACACCTCCAACTACCGAATACTATTACTACAACTCCCCTGCCGGAACCGCCAAGCCCTTCCCCGCTTCACGGCACGTCCCCGCCCCGCACTCAACCGTCTACCCTTACAAACACCACCCGAAACCCCCACGTCCTCCCCCCCTGCATTTGAACTACACCCACCCCATCCCTGCCAACTACCTCCTATCCCTTATATCACGTATATAATCCTACCATAATGAAACACATTCAGACATCGCACGAACCCAAACGCCTGCCAGTGCCCGTCTTAACCATAGCAACAGCCTCTCGGCCGTAGTCAGCAAGATCACATGACCATACCTCGGATGACCTCGCCGGCCCGCAGATACCCGAATGCACATCCGGCCCGGTAGCCCATACCCTGCCACGCATACCCCAATGCACGCTGTCTCTCCTGCTTGCCTTTAACACAAAATGCTGCTAAGATGTCCCATACCCACCCTACCATGTGCACCCTTTTTCCCCATAACATGTCTATGATCGCCCTCTCAATACCCATGCGCTTATAATGTCACTCCACTATACAAACCGGCTAACATGTTGTACGGCATCCGTCAGATCGCCGAACCTCTTGACCTCACTAAATCAATAGCATACCTCCTTAAAACGCCTACCTACCCTGCTTAAACATGCCTAGCTAACACCCTTCTCACTTGCCCGCCAAATGGCTTCCACCGATTCCGACCATGCGTCCTCCCTTGCTAACCCAGGCAACCCCGCACACGCAGACTCCCCCCCACCCGCTCCCAACACCCCATATGTCCCTCTCTTGAGTTACTCCCCGGGACAAGTCATAGTGCAACTTGAACCACGTAAGCATCGTCGTCCCTCCATAAGCCAACCGTCCCATACCTTACCCACCCCCAGCGCTCCCCGCGCACACACGTCCTCCCCGCAGATTACTTATCTACCAACCCGGTCCGCTACCACGCGAGAAACCTGGACCACGAGCCCGTTGGGCCGCACGAGCACGCCACCCAAATGGCCTCCCGTCCCGCACCCTCCACTTCTTCCGTGCTCCTTTCCAGCACGTGAACAACACGGTCACGTGGAGACTGAAATGTCGTCCGCCCACCCCCGCGCCCCTTAACCAGTCGATCCCTATCCTCTTTGTCACCCAAACCCAGCTAACCTACATCACCTTATCGGACATGAGGATAGTAGATCCGCAGGTTGTCTCTGTGTGCATTACGGTTGATAACCCGCGAGACGACGGGGACCCGGAACTTCGACGCCCCAAGTCAGGTGACCGCCTCCTTCTTCCAAACGAGGCAGTTCATCGCCCGTGGCATGTGAGCGCCCGACAGTTATGCCTATGGTTTGCATCCAGCCCTCCGTATTCCCTTCTCAGTTTACCACCGACCCGGCCTCTACCCCCTCTCTCCTGCCCCGCGGTTGCCGAAGCCCCCTACGATATCTCTGCGATCCACCTGCCCCATAGCACCAACATTCTCGAATCCTACGACGAACACGAGCTAGAATACGACTTCCATACGTACGCTAATGGAAACCGCCCCGGAAATGTCTACGTGTTCAACGAGCCGCCCTCCTTTGACCCTCCCATCTATCCCTCCCTGACCACAACCTCAATAGTGTGACACTCGACCCAATGCTCACTTACCAATACTACTAGACATATGCATGCCCTGCTTTCCAAGCACTCCCACACCGGACTTCCTCCCCGTGTAGGGCAGAGACGCTCGAACCGTTCACGTGAGTTATAGTAGAAATCCCATCAGTCCTGTAGAACCTCGACCAGTATGCGCCCCGACCTGTACATTATACACTACCCGAATACGAATTCACCCTGTTCTCCCATGCGGGAGGCCAATCACCAACGAACGAGCAAACCAACTCTAGTACGCAAACACAAAAAATCCCTGATCACAACCTGCCCTGTCACAAACCGGAGACTAGTAGAGTGGATACCCACACAACTAAGACCGCCGACCGCCCTCTCTCCCACCACTCGCCGCCACTAACCCGATATCCCCACCGCACCACCGACCCTCCCAGACTACCACACGGAAATCAGCCCACTCCGCAATGTTTAAAGACGCCTCTCAGTCAGCAAAGTGACCCACAACACGCGCCTCACCCGTCAACAATATGCAACCTCCCAATCACGGAATACCGAATGACAAGGCATACCTGTCTCCCACTCTATTAACCTGCCCAGGCTTACGCGCATCGCCGATCCCTCACTAAGACACCAGCTCGGTGATGACGAAGGCCACCAAAAACCTGGCTTAGCCTCCTCACCCAATCCCAACACACGACGTCACAGCGAGCACATATAGCTAAGCCGTCTACCCTTAGTTGCCCCCGCCGCTCTGATCCCCAAATCTCATAGCAGCACAACCAGTCTCCTTCGCTACCATGCATCACCGCATTGAATCCACCGACGACCAAGGATTGACGTGGACCACGCCGTACCCCAACGCTAACCAGCGCGCTGCAATGCGGGCGGCCCGCTCTGCCTCCCGCGCCAGCCGCGCTGAAAGCTCTCCGCCGCGTAACCAAGCTACTGAAGACGCCTCAGTCGTTCACGCGGCCCCGTCCCCGCCTTCCCAAGCCCCAGGAGTTCCCGGCCTATCTGAAGCTGACTTCCCGCCGCTCCCCTCCTCGCCGCCTGGAAGTCCCTCGGCCCCTGCTTTCGACCCTTATCGCACTCGCGTCACTGCCCCCACGGAATCCATGGCGCGCATAAACGAGTCCCAAATCTCGGCACAGTCCCCTGGACCCACCCAAGCCGCTCTGCTAGCCACCAACGCCGAGGCACCGGCTACGTCCACTCCCGCCGATCTCCCCACTGGCACTGGAGGGCTGCAGGGAAGGCTAGATAGCACCGGAGGTCTGCCCCAGGTAGTAGTCCCCCGACCAACGCGTACCCAACGTGTTGAGCCCGACCCGCAACGCCGAAACCCAGTACGTCCCAACCCCTAATAATCTATGCCTACTCACGCCCGCAGACCCCGGGTCCTAGCACGACCAGGAACCTGCGCATCCCCTACGATTCGGAAGCAGTCGATCGCCCCGATAGAAACCCACTCCAACCCCAGGTCCGCTCAGCATCCCCGACAACCACCAGAAAGCGTCGCCGCACTGGTAGCGGAGTTTCTAGATCCATCGAGGATGCTACAGCCCCTGGCGAACAAGGCCGCGCTCCACCCCCAATACCCCAACCAAGCCTGAGTCCACTCCCAGCCCTCGCACGTACCCCACAGCTACCCCCTGCCGACGAAGCCATGAATGTCGACCCTGCCCCGCCACAATCACCAACTACGGAAGCAGTGACGTGGCCGCTGACCCCAGCCTCTGTCTATCTCCCGGCTCCCCCTCCTCCAATACGTCAAGCGAGGGCGACAGCCGCACCAATCGCTCTTGCCTCGGCATTTCGCCAACACGGTGCGACGGCGAGATTCTCTCCCTCCTCACCGTGGCAACCGTGGATTCGCCTCAACCCGGTACAGGAACGCGCGTGGCAACAAGCGCTAGCACCCGGTGAACAAGGGCGCGCGCTCTTCGTCGCCGAATACGCGCGAACCGAGAACTCAGGAGTAGCCTCCGCGGACCGGATAGCGGCTGACCTGTCCGTAGCACTTCAGCGCCCGGAGGGGAACCTTGTCGAAGTATCCTATCCGCACCCAGTTCTCTCTCCAACTGGGAACCTGCAAACCCGGCCATCGGTATGGCACTTCGTATATGACCTTTCTGAACAAGAACAAGCCGCTCTCCTCAACGCCGAAGTTATTTCTCGAGACGGTCGAGCTTACATATTTATGTCAGCCAATCTCGACACCTCGCGTCCCGTCTTCCTCTACGCATTATGAGGCCTGCGCGGCACAGCAGAGGGTCTTACCCCGCACATCCACCAGAGTATTCTCTACTCAACTGCCTACCAGGAGCTTCGCAACACATACCCCGATAACCCGCTCATGGACGACTTCTTGAACAACCTTCGGCTCGACGAGCTCGCGATGCGAGATTCCGATGGACGCCCATCGCGGGCCATCCGTATATATGCGCGCCTTCCCACTAACGACCCGACAGAGCAGCAGGCAATGCGCGACACCCTTAGGTCCGTCAATTTCAACCACCCTTTCTTGGGCGCCGCACGCCAAGAGACCTACCTCTGTGCGCACTGCCAAGGATCCGACCATCCCTCCGGTCTCTGCCCGATGCCCAACATCCCTGGATGGCAAGGCCCAAACCCACTCAACCCCACGCCAGCCGATCATGCGACCACGGACCTCCCTCCGCCCGTTCTACCCGCCGCGCCACAATCCCTCACGACGAACCAGGGACAGGAACGAGGACGCGGTCGCAGCCGTGGTCGAGGAGGGGGGGGAGGAAGGACCCGAGGACGCGGACGA